CTACATGCACAACTCCAAGATCATGGAGTACTTCCGCATGTACGCCCAGCACTTCGACCTGCTGCGCCACATCCGCTTCAGGGTGAGGGCTGGGGCCGAGCGGGAGGCGGCAGCGGGAGCGGGGCACAGGGTGCCTGACCCCGCTCCCCATCCGTGCCAGACCAGCGTGTGCCGCGTGTCCAAGCGCCCCGACTTCGCCAGCAGCGGGCAGTGGGAGGTGGTGACGGAGAGCGAGGGGAAGCAGGAGGCGGCCGTCTTCGACGCCGTGCTGGTGTGCAGTGGGCACCACACCGATGCACATCTCCCGCTCAGTTCCTTCCCAGGTACTGCCTGTGGGCTGCTTGCCTGCTCCTTGATATCCTTAAATGGCTCTGCAGTTTCAACACACCAGTGGGGATTGCATGAGTGTCCAAAGCATGCTGCTGGCAGATGTCACCAGCGTGTCTCTCCCATCTGAGACAGGCTCCCTCTCCATGCTGCTGGCCAAGCACCTGCTGGGCCCTCCAGCTCCTCACCAAGGCTGGAGGGCTCAGCACTGGTGGTGGTCTTTCCTCCAGGTGCCAGGAGGAAAAGCCTGGAGAGCTTTCAGCTGTGGAGACCCTCTTTGGCTGGGGGACAGGCTGGAGAACACTGTCACCAGGGTCTGGTGAGATGGCACAGACCCTGGTTTTTCCTCTACTGGCACTAGACAGGATCTGCAGCAGAATTTTGGGATGGAAGCATGGAATTCTCCAGTCCAAGCCCTGTTCCCGGCCAGGCTAGTCCCAAAGCCAGAGCAGGATGCTCAGGGCTACACTGAGAATCTTCCATGCTGGTGATGCCACCACCTCTCTGGGCACCACCCCAGGACTGCATAACCCCAGTTGGTCACACTGGTGCCAGCTTGTTCCCAAAACACACCGCCAGTCTGAACAGGGGGCAGCCATCCTCCTGCTCCACATCCCAGCCCAGCATGGCTTCCCTCTCTCTTCCAGGGCTGGAGAAGTTTGAGGGCTCCTACCTGCACAGCCGGGACTACAAGATCCCTCAGCCCTTTTGGGGAAAACGGGTGGTCGTGGTTGGCATTGGGAATTCAGGCATCGATATCGCAGTGGAGCTGAGCCACACAGCCAAGCAGGTGTGCTCACAGGGAGAGCTCACAGGGACGGGACCCCAGAGGGCACCGATCATCACCCGCCGTCCCCTGTGGGCTCCCCAACCTCCAGCACCTGGCACAAGCACTCTGTCCCCTCTCTGTGGGGGTGGCTACTGTGGTCCCAGTAGCTGTGCTGGCTTCCCTGGAGCACAGCCGGGGCCCAGCCCAGTCTGAGCATGCTGCTGTGCCACCACCTCTCTTCACCTTCCTTCCAGGTTTTCCTCAGCACCAGGCGTGGGTCCTGGGTGCTGCACCGGGTGGCAGACAATGGGTACCCCTTTGACATCAGCTACCTCAGTCGCTTCATGCAGCTCCTCCAGGACGTGGTGCCTCAAAGTATCAGGAATTTCTTCATGGAGTGGAAGCTGAATTCCCGCTTTGACCACACCCTCTATGGCCTAAAGCCCAAGCACGGGTGAGTGCCCCAGCAGCAGCCCAGGTGCCTGCCCCAGCAATGCCCATCCCCCTGCCAGGGCCTGAGCGAGTCCTGTCTGTGCCCTCCAGGATCCTTGACCAGCACCCCACTGTCAACGATGACCTGCCCAACCGCATCATTTCGGGCAGGGTGCGGGTGAAGCCGAACGTCCGGGAGTTCACAGAGACATCGGCCATCTTTGAGGATGGCACCAGGGAAGATGTCGATGCCGTAGTTTTTGCCACAGGTTACAGCTTCTCCTTCCCGTTCCTCGAGAGCTGCGTGAAGGTGGTGGAGAACCAGATTCCCCTCTACAAATTCATGTTCCCCCCTGAGCTGGAGAAGCCGACACTGGCTTTCATCGGCCTCATCCAGCCCTGGGGAGCCATCATGCCCATCTCAGAGCTCCAGAGTCGCTGGGCCGCCTACGTCTTCAAAGGTGAGCCAGGGCAGTTTGGGGCATGCAGCTGGGCTCCCCCAGCCACGACTGAATCATTGCTGGTGGCATCCCCTCACATGCTGCCTCTCCACACTCACCTTTTCATCCTCCTTTGGCTTCTTCATGAGGACAAAACCCTGCTTTGCGTTTTTCTGCTACTCTTGCACTGTTCCTCTCTTGTGGGGGTCACTAACTGGTCCTGGTGCCTGCAACCACCTTCTTCCTTTCCTTTCCTGCTGTTACTTTGCCCGTGTCTCCCACTTTGCTCCTATGGCAGGAGCACAGCCCGCCTCCAGCTCCAGCCTCCTTTTGCCCAGGGCTGCAGGGCCTGCCGCCGCCCGCCGACATGCTGGCCGAAATCACACAGACCAAGCAGAGAATGGCTCAGCGGTAAGGCCCCCGTGCCGCTCGGCCCTGCCACCCTCACCCCCGCTGCTCCCGCTGTCAAACCCTCCTGCCTCCCTGCCCGCAGGTACGTGAAGAGCCAGCGGCACACCATCCAGGTGGATTACCTCCCTTACATGGACGACCTCGCCCGCCAGCTGGGGGTCAAGCCCAACCTGCTCACGCTGTTCCTCACGGACCCCAGGCTGGCCATGGAGGTGGCCTTCGGTCCCTGCACGCCGTACCAGTACCGGCTGCGGGGCCCGGGCGCCTGGGCGGGAGCCAGGGCCGCCATCCTCAGCCAGCGGCAGCGCGTGGTCAGCGCCCTGCAGCCGCGGGCCGCCCGCCGCGCCGCGCGGCCCCGCGCCCTGCCCCGCGCCCTCACCCTGCTCCTCAGCATCGGCATGATTGTGGCCACCCTGCTCTACGTCTCGCTCTCTCCTTAGCCTCAAGGGAAGGAGACAGCGGGTCCTGCCGGCAGCATTCTGCTTTTCCCTTGGGCTTGTGTGTGTTATCTCTCGCTAGCTGCGCCGGAGCACGGAGGGAGCCGTTCCTTGAAGGTGCAGCCTGGCCTCTTGCGCTTTCCCGCTGTGATACCACCAAGTCTGCTCACGGGCTGCTCTGGGAACAGCTCCCTAAATCCTGGCCAGGCAGCCCCCACGAGCTCTGTCTTTGGGTCAGGTCAGAGGTGGTGGAGAAAGTGGGAACGTGCCCAAGCGGGGGGCCTCGGGCAATGGCAATAAAGCTCGTCCCCTGCTGCGGGGACCGGACAGCACAGCGCCTGGCTGCGTCAGTCTGAGCTCCAGCCTGGGGGTCCCGCCGGCCCACGGGCAGCACCCCGGCCGCTGGCACCCCGCAGCCCCCCGTCACCCCCGCCCGTAACAGGCACGGCCGCCGGCGGCTGAGGCGGCGCGGCCCCGGCTCCGCGCCCCGGCCCGGCGGAACATGGCGGGGGCGGGGCGGGTGCCGCGGGTGGGTGGGTGTGAGGGTGGTGGCTCCCCGGGCGCCTCTGCGGGAGGCGGTGGGTGAGGCGTGGCTGCGCGTCCCGGCGGTGTAGCGGTGTCCCGGACCCCGCAGCGGTGCAGGCGCCGTCTGGCAGCCCCTCGGGAGGGCCCGGCCCTGCCGGTGTGTCCCGCTCTTCCCCCGGGCCAGGGCAGAGCCGCGAGTGCCCGTGGGCCGGGCCCGCCGTGACAGCCCCGCGCAGCCTTGCCTGCTCGGAGGGAGATTTTCCGCCCCCGCTTTCCCAGTTCATCCCCTCAACCTCACGGCGAGCCCAGGGCTCGGCTCTGGTTCCCGTCTCCAAAGAGGGAGAGTCCGGGTGGATCAGGCTCCCCGGGCCACCCCAGCACAGGGCCGACACGCCCGGCGAGGTGCTGGACCCCGTTCCCCCTGAGAGCCCCCGGGAATGCCTGCCAGCGCTCCCAGTGCTGCCGGACAGACCCTGTCCCTCTGCAGAGCCCCTTCGGGCTGCCTGCCAGTGCTTCCCAGGGTGGGCACTGGCTGGGTGGGAGAGGCAGCACGCGTGGCACATCCCGGGGAAGGGAATGCGTGTAATTCACGTGTCATTTTCCACATGAGAAGCGGGGGCTGGCGGGAACCGAAGGGCCCTGGTGATGGGGCAGGCAGGCAGCAGCCTTGCTGTGGGCTGCGGCTGGCAGGGGCTTGCTGCCAGACTGAGAGTGGATGTGCTGAGATGCTGTGGAGGTTTGCTGGGGCTGTGGTGTGGGCAGCATTTCCATCCGTGACTTGCGTGTACCTGTGTCACACCATCTCCCAGTGCTACAAGGGCTGGTCTGGATGCAGGAGGGTTTGAGCTGTAAAAGTTAATTCAGCAAAGCCAGGTATTGCAGGCTGTGCACAAAGACCTGTCCTGGCACAGGCTGGGTGCCTGTGTGTGTGATGCAGGGGACTCAGATGGCACATGCCAGACAGGAGCCACAGCCTGGGTGAACCTCAGGGAGCGTTTGGAGAGTATGACCTGCAAGGGACAGAGGGACTGGAGTTTTTTTAGAGAAGAGAAAGGGAGGATTCACACCTGTTAACACCTGCACGTATCTCCCAGGTCTGTCCTGCTACAAGGGAAGTTCAGCCTTTCCCACCTTCCTCCCTGTAGATGAGAAGTGAGGGAGCCTTAGTGAAGATACTGAGAGGAAGCTCCTCACAGCAGGTCTGGTGGTACAGGGGCAGTTTTTGTGAGGAGCTGTCTGAGCCTCTGCACAGCAGAGGGGGAAGATGTCAGAGCAAGAGGTGTAGCTCATTTGACCTGGATCTTCAGGTATACTTGATCTGAACTGAGAGGGGTGGGGGTATGCCTTAGCTGCCCACTTGAGCTTCCTTTTAGCCCTCAGGATTTAAGAAATACTGTAGTAATTGCTCCATAGTGTTCTAAAGCCTGGCTTTGGCTGGCAGCCTCACTTGGCGCCCTTCATATAACTTGATCTTTTAAACAAACCTCCAAATGTCACAAGTGAGCACATGAAGCAAGGCTGGCTGTCCCCTTGCTTGCTCTGCAGTAAGCTGAGAGCTGCAAAATAAACCTGGAAGTGGGCAAAAACCCCAGTCCATCTCGGCTCCTGGAAAGAGGGTAAGGCCTGAAGAGTCCTGTGTAGTTTGCAGTGGCTTTGTTGTTTATCCTAAAAGGTGTGTAGTTGTTCATGGCTTGGTCAGTTCTCCTGTGTTGCTTTCTCTGAGCTGGGTGAGATTGGGGATGGGGCCTGTCTCCAGCTGCAGAGGGACACTGAGGTGGCCAGGGCTGCCCTTCCCTCACCGTGTCCCTCCAGACAGCAGGACAGGTGCTGGCTAGGTCACAACAAATGGTCCTCCTCGCTGTGCTGTGCTGCAGCTGACACGGTGACTTGGCTGGTGAATCATAAGTGAATGCTGCTGAGAGCTGAGCTTTTTGCAGACACCACAGCATTAGCCCTGCTCCTTGGACAAGCTCCAGCTTGGGCGATTCCATTCGGACACTTTAAATGCTCCCTGTCGCCTTTGCAGGCACAAGGCTCTGCTCTTCTGCCTGTGAGCCCTTGGAGACTTGTTGGGGACTGTAAAACAGCTGCTACTTTCAGTCCCTGGCTGTTTTCTTGCTGGGCTGTCTGTAGAGCCTGACTGCAGGACTGTGAAAGAGGCTCTGTTAACGCCAGGCAGTTCACTTGCCGATAAAGGTTGGCTTTATTTTTCCCATCAGCTCTATTCTGTTGACTGCCAAGGGCTGATGTGGGACACATGTGAAGTCGTATTGGTTTTGGATCTTAAGAATTACCAGCTTAACTAGAATGATGGTTCTTAAGGATGTGGCTATAATTAGGTCAAGCTGTCTTGTTTGTTGAATTCCCATTCAGCTCCCAAACTTGGTAGTGAAAATGAACTTGGGGCCTTTTTTAGGATTGCTGTTCGTCTCCACTGGCAGAAAACATTTGGGAGAAGGCTCTTTTGCTCCTCTTCTTGCTGCCAGGACCGTGGGCAAAGGCACAGTGTTGTTTTGTCTCCATCCCAGGGGCTGCTGAGCTGCCATGGGGAACACCACCAGCGAGCGGGTGTCTGGGGAGCGCCATGGCTCCAAGGCCCAGCGCTCCGACGGCTCCGGGGCCTCCCACCCCGCCAAGGAGCACCCACACAAGATCATGGTGGGCAGCACCGACGACCCCAGCGTTTTCAGCTCCCATGACTCCAAGGTAGGGCTGGCTGCTCCCCTCCCTGCCTGCCCTCCGGAGCCTCAGCACGCTGCCTGTGTGGGGCTGTGTTCCCAGCCATGCGAGGGGTCTCTGGGGGCCTGGAGGAGCTCTGTGGTGCTCCTGTGTGTGATGTGCAGGTGGCCTGCTGGAGGCCAGGTGTAGAAACCAGCTGTCTGAATGTGTTCTCTATTATCTCTGTATCTCGGTCACATCTCTCTGGTTTTCTTTTCCCAGATTTCTGGGGACAAGGAGTTTGTGTCATGGCAGCCAGATCTGGAGGAGTCAGTGAAACCATCCCAACAGGCTCGTCCAACTGTCATACGCTGGGCTGATGGAGGCAAGGAGGTCTTCATCTCCGGATCCTTCAACAACTGGAGCACCAAGATCCCACTCATCAAGAGGTAGCCAGTCCCTCAAGTCATTTACTCTGTGTTCATGTCTGCTCCAGTACAGAGAAGGTTTTTCTTTACTCTCTTGGCTTTTCTCTGCTCACTCAAGCTGTGGGTCTGAGGCAAATACACAGTCAGCTCCTTCCCTGCGTGGTGCTGCAGGCCAGTAGGAAGTTGTGAAACAGGGACAGGACAGGATGGGCCATTTTGCATGCCCAGCTGGATGTCACACAGCAGCCAGTGCTGGCAGCAGGGCCCTGCCCAGGTATGCAGCAGTCCTCTGGAAGCTGTCAGCTCTTCCCTTGGCTGCAGCATTACCCCATGCCTAGTTGTATTGGTGCCAGTGGGTGTTAGTTGTTTGTCCCTCACGTATCTTCCTGCCCTAATGATGTTCTCGCTGTTCTGCAGCACATCTGTGACTTACATGGAAGCTCATTAAGGACTCTAGCAATCAATCTGGAATGAGTTTATCTCAATTTCAGATTTGACAAACAGAGCTGTCCCACTTGCTCCTGTTCTGCTTGTCAACACAGGGCAGCAGCTTTGCCCACGTGTTCTTCTTAGCCTTTCTGGCAGAGGATGTCTGTCACATCCACTTTTTTGGGGCACGAAGGGCTGGCCTGCCACTTGCAGCTGGGCTGCCAGGGGTTTGAGCCACGGAATGCTCAAACGAGCACTGGAATGCTCGTGCCTGTTATGGCTGTGCCTTGGGTCACTGATGATGAGCAAGCCTAACCCTGATGAAGGTGTTGGGGTAGAGGGGCTGGGCAGTGCTGGTTCCTGGGGCCCCTTGGAAGAGCAGCATTCAAAGCATCAACAGGCTGATGCTGTTGCACATCTGTTCTCTCTGCACAGCCACAATGATTTCGTTGCTATCCTGGACCTTCCAGAAGGAGAGCACCAGTACAAATTTTTTGTGGATGGCCAGTGGGTCCATGATCCTTCTGAGGTAATGCTCCAAGCTTTATCCCTGCGGATCTTGTCTTTTTCAGGGAACTAGACAGGATGTAACTGCAGCAGAGGGGGAACAGGAAGAGCAGAGACTATCTCCTGAAACAAAAGGCACCCCTCCATCCCCTGACTCATTTCAGAGGCTGGTTCCTCTGGACATAGTCATGATTTATGGAGAAGCATTGGGAAAGGGCAGGGAAATGCCAGAAAGCCCTCAAGTCCCACTGAGAATTGGCAATGGGAAGATGGGCCATGAGGTCAGCACTCACAGGTTGTCTTCCAAACTGAATCATGTGGGAGCAGCTTGGGAAGGACAACACACCTACCCATGGGCATGTAGCAGGATGGAGGATGGAAATAGGTGGTCATGTAGGAGCCTGTGATAAAGGAAAATCCTCCCAGGGTGAACAGCAGTGTAGGGCAGAGAGGGACACCAGCCACCTATGCTCAGAGGTAGTGTTGCAGCAAAGACAGCTTGGGCTGGGAGGATCTAGGAAGCATTGAGTGTGCCTCAGTTGGAGGTGAACACAGGAAGATTCTTACCCCAGTTCTTTCCAGCCTGTGGTTACCAGCCAGATGGGGACAATAAACAACCTCATCCATGTCAAGAAGTCTGACTTCGAGGTGTTTGACGCGTTGAAGGTGGATTCCCTGGAAAGCTCAGAAACCTCAGGTCGGGGTGAGTTTTGTGGCATTACAGCTTTGCATGTGCTATTTTCCACCTCCTCTGCTCCGAGACTCGCTGCTCTGGGTGCACCCTGGGCAGAGGCGTGGGCCTTCACTGGGGGTGAGCAGTGTTGGGCAGCGTGTCCTCCTCAGCCCACAGCTGAGGCCTCGTCCCTCTGGAGGGGCTATCTTGGTGTAACTTGTTCTGTGCTAGCACCATCCCAGAGCAGAGCTGCTGCAGTGCGTGGCTGAGGGAGCCATTTCGGACTGGGAAATGCCAGGAACATCAGCCCTTTCTGTCTGGTCAACTGTAAGTCATCTGATCCAGGGTGCAAGCTAGGTGATAGCAGGATCCAGTTTATTTTCAGCAGCTGCTCTTGGTTTTCATGCCAAGGTAATTTGTACCAGGACTAGCACATTGCAAACCTCCCTGTCTGCTTGTGTTACAGCAGCAGGTTAGGTTACCACACAGCACTGGTGGTGCTGGCTCAGTGTGAAATGCTGGCAGGAAGCTCAGTCGTGTTCTGTCCGTCTGTCCCTGGTACAGCCCCGTCTCAGGTACAGCTCAGCTCCATGTCCTTTCCCAGCCTGGGCAAGAGACACTGCTGGAGAGAAGCCAGCAAGCAGCAGCAGCCCAAGGAGATGGAGCCCTTCTGGGGCTGGCTGTTCCCAAAGGTTCAGATCAGATGTGTCTGGGAGATGCTGGAGTCCAGCACGAGCTCCCGAGGTCTCTCCCATGTTTGGAACAGCTGCTCAGTGTAGAGTTCCTGTTTGCCTTCCCTGGACCTCCTCATCAGGCAGCCCCTAGAGCCAGCTGCTCCCTGTGCCCCTGCTGCTGAAGGCACAGCTCTGGAGCAAGCCAGCTGCTTCCTGCAGGGAGAGGGACCTGGCTGAGCTGAGAGCTGTGCTTGAGGGGTCTTGTGATGGGTAGCACGGGGTGCCTGTGTTCTGTCAGTGCATGTACCAGCTTACAGCCCTGCTTGGAATTGCCTGGGCTCGCCCAACTGCTTTTTCTGCTGTGAAAAGGCTGACTTGTTGCTATAGAATAGATCCCTGCCCGTGGCTTGTGGAGGATGTTTGTGCTTGAAAGACCTTGCTGAGATCTTCTCAGCTTCTTAGGAGCTGCTCTATGCTCGCCCATCCTGCTTCAGTCATTTCATGTCTGTGCCTTTGTCTTCTCTCTAGATTTGTCCAGCTCCCCACCGGGACCTTATGGCCAGGAGATGTACGTGTACCGGCCCGAGGAGCGCTTCAAATCCCCACCCATCCTCCCGCCTCACCTCCTGCAGGTCATCCTCAACAAGGACACCAACATCTCGGTGTGTACCAGCGTACTGCCCACTGAGAGAGCCACGCTGGGGTCAGAAAGGGAGTCCTGTCTGCAGGGAGCCTGGGGTCTGTTTCCTAGGAAAAGCATCACTTTACCCATTTGCCACACGGATTTGGCCTCTGGTGCTTAGCTGAGCTCTGTTGCTGTTCAGAACAGCCAGAGGCAGTGGCAGCTCCAGCTGCCTGAGACAGCAGCTCCCTGTGCTGGCAGCGTCGGGGGGGTCAGGGCTCTGCTGCCCCCCTGTGACACTCCTCTCCTCCTAGTGTGACCCAGCGCTGCTGCCCGAGCCCAACCACGTCATGCTCAACCACCTCTACGCGCTCTCCATCAAGGTAAGCGCAGGTCCTGCAAGGCTGCTGGTGAGGAGCTGCTGTGGCTCCCAGGAGCCTGCAGCACCTGCAGGGAGCAGAACCTGCTCAGCCGGGGGGTGGAGATGAGAGCTGGCTGCCTGGTGAGGGGTGGCACACACGGGGGCAGAGGGTGTGACTTCCTGACAATTCCCTTCAGCTGCCTCCCTCGGCGTGGGGGAGCTAAGCATGTATCAGACCCTGCGCTTGCTCTGCCCTCTGCCCTGTTGTGTATTGTACTGGCTGGGGCACTGGGGACAGCAGGGACAGGCTGGGGCAGCTCCCTGAGCCCCAGGGTTGCCTGGCCCCACATGCTGACGCTGTCTCCCTCAGGATGGCGTGATGGTGCTCAGTGCCACGCACCGCTACAAGAAGAAGTACGTCACCACACTGCTGTACAAGCCCATCTGAGCTGGGGCCTCACGCGCTCCCCACGCAGGACACCAAATGCCGCTTGTCTGCACACACTGGGCCACGGGACTGTGTGACAACTGGCCACTGGCTCCAGCCTCCAGCCTGGCAGGGACACGGGCCCTGGCAACAAGCTCAGGGCCACTGGGGCCTGTGACGCTGTCCCATCCTACCGGTGTGGTTCAGCCCTTGGTTTCCACCCACCTGCAGCTTCCCTTGGCTTCTGTGAGTCTCTGGGACCACTTTGCTGCTCACCAGAACAGCCCTTCCTCACGCCCAACACAAAAAGGGCTTCACCCTGCCTGTCTCCTCCAGCCTGTGAGGGCCTCAAGGTGGTCCTGGCACTGCACCCAGTCCAGGCTCCAGGCACACATCCTGTTCTTCTGAAGCTTGTGCTGCTGCCCTGGTGCTGAATCTCCAAGGGCACCTTGTCTGCTAGGGGCTCTGTGACACTCCAGCCTGACACCTGCCCCCTGTTCCACAGCCCTGGCTGTGGGGCTGCCACCCCAGCTTTTTTGAACCTCTGCGAGGTTCAGCGTCGATCCAGCATGATGGACAGTACATCTGGACACAGCCACTCTTACCTGCTGCTGTGAGAGCACCATCGAGGACTGCAACGCCCTGTCCCCAACATCAGCTGCTGCTGTGGGACAGGGCTGACTTTGTCACAGCCAGAGGGGCAGTGGCACATGCCCTGGAAAAGCAGAGCCGGGCAGGCACTCCAGGACCCCGGCTGCGCCGCCTGCTGCCGCAGCAGTGCCATGGGACAGGGGGTTCTCTATTTATTACAGTATTTATTGTTCTCGGTGCTGCTTGCCTGGTGTTGGAGAGAGGGTCTACAAGAGGAGGAAAGGGAGCACCCAGTGTGGCACAGAGCTGCCCTTGGGTGGTTAGGGTAGGGCTCAGAGCCACCCCCTGGGCACAGCTGGGGCTTTGGCACCCTGTGCTGCAGGTGGTTTGGGGAGGGGCAGCACAGCTGCAGAGACAGGCATGCCAGAAACACCACAACCCAAGGGAAACCTTTATTGGGGACTCTTCAGCCACTGAACAGAATATGGCATTTCTTACATCTTCCTCCTGCGCTGGGGCCCCGACATGTGCGGAGTCCCCAAAACGCATTTCCAATACCTCTGTCTATGTACATATACACATCCACAAGCAGGGACGGGGACTCAGCAGGGTTACAGAGGGGACCAGGTCCTGGGGCAAGGTGTGCTCAGCATGGGGGCTGTGTCAGCCCACTCTGAGCACTGAGGGGGGAAGGGAGCAAGTGCTGAAGCATGGGCCAGACAATGGCCAAGCCAGCAGCTGCTGCTGCCATGCCAAGCAAAGGCTGGTGGAGGGCACACAACCACCACAGCAGCCCAAACCCACTAACTGCGTAGCACTGGATGCCCCAGACCCCTTTCACCCTGGCCTTCAGAGCAGCAGGGACAGGGTCCACTCCAGCCCTCTGCTACGGCTCGGCTCAGCAGCCAGTGGGCTCTTCCATGCTGGCCATTGCTCCTTGCCCTGCACGGGGCTCACGCAACAGGCAGGGCCTGCTGGGCCTTCACCTGGCAAGAGATGACACGTGGCAATAAGGAAGAGCACTACTGTGCCGTGGGGACATGGACATGATAGCTGAGGACAGAAAAGGCAAATGTGTCCCAGTGTCCCCCCACACTTCACCCAGCTAGTCCTCAGCACTCCACGACAGCCACCACAGGGTGTGTGCCATCTGTGTCCATCCCCAGGGCATCAGGACCGGGACACCCACCCCTGGCTGTCAGGGCAAACTCACCTCCAGGTTTGTCCTGGCCTTGCGCAGCACATTGTGGGTCCTGGTCACTGCAGGAGAGAGAGACGGGGTCAGTGAGGTCCCTGTGCTACGGAACCACGTGGGGCACGTGGGACCAGGCCAGCTCGGCCGTGCCACCCGAGCACGTACGCTGGCTGACGATGAACTGCTCCATGCTGTCCTTGAGCTGCGCTGTGCTGCGCAGCCGCCTGGCCGTGCTCTGCAGAGCATCCTCCCTCTCGGAGAGACGGGCCCGCAGCGCCGCGATCTCGCCCTGGAGCGCCTGCTCCTGGGACAGGGAACAGGGATGAGGAGCAGTGAGCACCCGGCCCCAGTGCCCTGCCGGCCCCCAGCCCCTGCTCACCTTGCCCTGGTGCTGGGCAGGGCTCACGGGCAGCACGGTGCTCCAGAAGGCGGTGAGGAGAGACACGCACTCCTCCAGGATGCCGTGCAGGGTGCTGGCGCTGCCCCACAGATGGCCCTGCCCCGTGCCCGTCCAGCCCCGGGCCTGCGGGAGAAGGGTGCGGGAGCAGGCGCTGCTGGGGCTCCCCCATCCTGCCGCACCCGGGGAGCGGCCGTGCTCAGCCCGGCGCAGCAGGGCAGTGCCAGCAGCATTCCCTGGGCTGGAGGCTCCCTGCCTCCAGCTGCCCCTGCAGCGCTCGGGGTTGGGTCTGGGCTCGGGTGCCACGTAATGCACGGTGCACTGAGGATCTGGCCCCCAGCTGCTGCCTGCCCCGTCCTGCCCGCCCTTTACCTCCTTTCCCGGGAGCGGGCAGCTGGGCAGCCCGAGTGCTGGGCGTGTGAGACACATCAGCTCCCGGGCCAAGGCCTTTCCCTCCACGATGTGCTGCTCCAGGGCTCGGTACGTGTCCAGGCGGCCGACGACGTGAGCCCCCGTCAGTCCCTCGCTCTTCCTCAGGAGCATGTCTGCGGAGCAAGCCGGGTTAGTGAGGACCACTCCCCTCGTGACCCACCCTGCCCCATCCCGGGCCCTTGGCTCTGCTCTGAGCTCTCCAGTCTTGCTCAGCAAGGGTGCTGCCACGAGTTCAGCAGAACCCACCGTCCATCCGTCGGAGCACCGACGTGCCGGAGGGCACTGGGGAGAGGAGGGGAGCTGCTGAGTTAGTGCCAACATCGCGCACTGGAGGAGATGGGAAGCAGCCTGGAACAAGAAATATCTGAGCCCCTGTAGGTAGATGTAGCTCCTTGCCTGTGGCTGCTGGGGTCCTGCCCTCCGTCCCTCCCTCCCTCTCTACCTGCCAGCAGGGCCACTGGGTGCAACCTGCTGCCCCAGGAGAAGTGTCTGGGACCACCCAAGGGTTGCAGAGGGGCCAGGCCCCGCAATGGCAGGAGCTGGGCAGGGATGCCACACATGGGTCCCATACCTGCTCGTGTCTCAGCAGAGGGGCCAGGGAGGCTCTCGTAGACGTGCAGTTCCGCACGCAGGGTCTGCAGGAGCAGGCGCTGCTCCTCACTCTGCTGCTGCAGGAGCGTCACTGAGTGCTGCAGCCTGCAGAGGTGACACATGGGTCCAGTGCCAGTCATCCCTCCCAGTCCTGTGGCCCCAAGGCCACAGTGCCCCAAATCTTACCTGTTGTTGTCCTCCTGCAGAGAATGCCGCTCATCCCGGAGCTGCCGGATGCTCTCTTGGCACTCGGAGAGCTCCTCTGCCAGCCTCCGCTGCTTCCCACGCCTCTGGCCCAGCTCTGCTTCAGCTTCCCGTGCCCGGGAGCAGGCAGCCACGAGAGTCTCCTGCACCCGTGCCAGCTCTGGGAACAAAGAGCACGGAGGTGTCAGCACCACTCCACCCAGCCGGTGCCCTCTGGGACTCAGCCCCAGGATCCTAGCCAGCCCTGCCTTGGGAAAGGTGGTCACGTTGGAGCTGCAGGGTCCGGTTTTCCTCGTGCAGAGCCTGGTTCTCCCTGCTCAGCTGCAGCCCCAGCTCCGGTGTCTGGGCATAGACTTCACTGGGTAATCCTGTGGAGGGGACCAGCGCTGAGTCTCTGTCCCCAGGGCCCCGCCGTGCACGGGGTGAGCAGAGGGATGTGCAGAGGCCTGGCCCCCAGCCCCGTACCGCTGCCCTTGCCGGTGGAGGCCAGGCGGCGCTCCAGCTGCTCCCGGAGCCGGTCGTTGGTGCAGATGGACTCCTCCAGGCGCTGGCGCAGGTTGCGGATCTCCACCAGGTGTTCCTCCAGCAAGTCAGCCCCTGCCACACCCAGGGAGACAGCTCAGGGCAGGAAAGGCTGTGCCTGCCTCTCTCCATAGCAGAGCCCTGTCCCACAGCTGTTGTGGTGCTGGATCTCCTCCCAGCACCCCACAGGCGGGCGGGATGGCCCTGGGCTCTCCACCATGGACCATACCTGTCAGCTTCTGGCCACAGGGGTACCCCGCTGGCAGGGCCCCCCCATAGAGCCGCTGGCCGGGCGGGGGCACATCCCAGAGGCCGCGGGTGTCGGTGGCCCCAGGGAGCTCCGCTGGGCCCTGCAGGGCTCCGTGTTGGCAGAACGGTGCTGGGGCTTTGCTGCCCTCTCCAAAGGGGCCCAGTGGGACTGTGGGCTTTGCTGGTGCCATGGGCAGTGTCACACCTGGACACACAGGACAAAGCAGGAAGGAAGAGAAGGACAATGAGCAGGTAGGAAGAACGGGGCAACACACTCCCTCCATCTGATTTTTCCCCCCACTTGCTCTGCACAACAGTGCAGTCCAGTGTCCCCCATCACTGACCTCGTGTCCCAACCAAACCTATTCCTCCTGAGGAGCAGGGGCTCTCCCAGAACTTGATGGTTATGTGACACAAGGTGGAAGGTCTCAGCCCCACTCCTACACAACACCTTACCAAATCAGCCTTTTCCTAGAAAACCTGGAATATGCCAGTGTCTACACCTAGGGCTAATGCTGTCTTGGGGTGTTCATGACTGGTTTTATCCTCCCTCCAACCCCCCAGGTTCTCTCTACGTGAAAGCCATATATTCCCATCATCCCCCAGCCAGAGCAGTGGGACCCAACCTCAAAGCCATAGCCCTGAGAAGAGGAAGATCAAGGGCGGGACATGCAGGTCGGAGAGGGCGGGGTATGGCGTGTCACAGCACAGCATGCAGGGTGGGCAGGACCAAACCCAAGCCAAGAGGCAGTGTGCTCACTTTCTCCCAGTTGCCTCCGGAGCACCTGCAGTTCCTGCTGTGCCTCAGCCAGGGAGCAGACAGAATTCCCGCAGCAGCCCAGGAGCGGTGGGGCCGCAGGAGGAGGGGCCCCGGCAGGGAGGAAGGGAGACAGCCCGGGGGCCAGGGCAGGCAGGGGAGCACTAACGGGTTTGGACAAGGAGTCAAAGTGAAGGCCTAGAGACAGGAGAGAGATGGAGAGAGGTGTCACAGTGGCTCTGGCTCAGCCTGGCAGAGACCCCTCCTCCCTGGTGCTCTGGGGACCCTGGCACACCCCAAGAAGACAAGTCCCTGTCCAGAGGAGCTGCAGTTGTGACCCCTGGTCACCGTGTGGTACCTGCATGTTGGACAGGCTCCTCGTGGCACTGGCTGTACTCGCTGGCCGCATCCCCATCGGAGCAGGGCTCCAGCCCCTCGGAGCTGAAGGATGAGCTGCTGGCAGAGTGGGATGACTCCGAGGGTGGGCAGCTGCTGCCCGGGGACTCAGAGCGCTCTTGCAGCTTCACCTCCAGGCTCTCAATCACCTTCTCCTTCTCCTGGAGTTCCCGGCTGAGCCTGCGGAGGGGGCCCATCACTCGGTCTCACCTCCATCCCGCACAGCCCTTTCCTACGATCCCCCACGTGCCATGTCCCACTAGTGATGCAAGGCTGCTCAGAGACACAGAGTGCCCGTGGGGCTTGCCATCCCCAGAGCAGAGGCAGCCCCAGGACATCCACCTGAGGCAGAGACCCCAAGGGCACCCTGGCCCCCCACCCCAACAGCTGTGATAGACCTCAGGATGCCCGTGCCAACACATCCCACACACCCTTCCTTGGGAACAGGTACCTCTGTGCCAGGAGCTCATGACTGGTTTTGTCCTCCCCATCTT